CAGTTTCCAAGGCAACTGCCCCCAAACGTTCTACAACTGATAGAAACCGTCAGTCAAACTCTTCTACGAGGCAGAACAGAGGTTTAGTCGTCCTACCCTATGTTAAGAACACCTCTGAAGCTTTACGGAGAATCTTCGGGACACATGGCTTAAAAACGTGTTTCAAAACGACCCGTACGTTAAGACAGCTATTAGTGGCCCCCAAAGACAGAACCCCCAAAGAACAAAAGTGTGGCGTGATTTACCACATTCGGTGCGCAGGCCAAAATATCAGAGGACCTTGCCCAGAGACATACATAGGGGAAACAGAACGGTCTCTCAAGACTAGATTTCTGGAACACAGGCGCCCCAGTTCAAACACATCGGAAGTGTCGCAACACATACACATCGAGTCCCCCGGACATACAGTTACATTGGACAAGGTGCGCATTCTAGATACGGAGCAGGATTACTTTGTGAGAGGCGTGAAGGAGGCAGTTTACATCAGGGCCCACCAACCCTCTCTGAACCGTGATGGTGGGAGATACCGTCTTCCCGCCACTTTTGATGCACTCCTGACGTCATCACGTTTCCGACTTCCGGAAAGTCAGCGATTGCATCACAAATCTGACGAAGGTTGACGGGATCAGCCGAAAATTTATGGTGAGTTCTCCTTATTGTGTTGGAACAAGTCAAACTCTTTAACTAGGACTAAAAGTAGGTTTGATTTTTTCTCTTTGAATGTGCCACTCAGTATTTGTACTTTAAATATACTACCAAAATGATTATATTTCATACATTTTATGTTACAAATAAAAGAAGAAAAAAATAACAGTAGGAACATGAAATATTCCTCGTTGTGTTTGATGATCTTCAACGACTAGGTAAATATCATACGAAGGAAGAACATAAAAATAACTAGAAAGGCCAACATTTGCTTCGGAGCAAATGCAATCTTCCTCCCCAAACAAATATAGAAGATTCTAAAAAAATCATACTGCAATTATAGAAGGACAAGCACTTTGAATCTCGACAGCTTTTTTTACAAAAATGATTTTGATGCAATTTTTAAATATATTTTAGCGTGCAGTGGCCAATGGCCAATCGGGATGGAATCCGGTGCCATACCTGATGACCGCATCACTGCATCCTCCTTCTATGAGATAGCATTCGCTCCCTACCGAGGGCGGTTAAACGAGGCTTCTGGCTCCTGGGCGGCACAAGCCAGCACCATTGGGGAGTGGTTGCAGGTAGGGAGAGTGTTTGATGAATTAGATATTAATTTTTTTTAAGAATATCTGGAAACAGTATAGCGCATGACCAGGCATTTTCATATCATGGTTTATTGGTAAAATTATTTATAACAACATTTTTCTAAGATACATTTTAAAAAACGCTTGCATTTGATGTTTAACCTATAACATAGAAGACCTTTAATGCCTTTATTAGGTTGATATAGAAAGAATGAAACGCGTAACGGGAACCGTCATTCAGGGCCGCCACAATAGTGACCAATGGGTGGCGTCCTATAAAGTACAGTACAGTGCAGATGGGATTAATTGGTCGACATATGCAGGCAGTGAAGGCTCTGAAAAGGTATTTTTTTTTTACTTTTCATATAATACTAGTAAATAGAATTAACGAATCCTGTAATAAAACTCTGGAGAGAGCGATCCGAATATAATTAATTTGCAGGCAAAAATTCCCCAAAACAAAATAGTGCTGGGGGATTTTAATCACATGGCTGTTGATTCTTTCCCATACCTATTCTATATACAAGACAATAGTGGATTTATCCGAACCCCATCTTCCAACTTTTTACTGCATGGTTTTTCCTTGTATTTCTAATTTTTTCCCTTCCATGTCGTAACATGTGATGAAGCCATGCAACATTTGCTCCTAAGCAAATGTCGGCTTTTTTAGTTATAGTTATTGGTTTACCTTCCAGGTCTTTCCAGGAAACACTGACAGAAGCACGCCGGTTACCAACCTTCTGGACAACCCTGTTGAAGCCCGCTATGTGCGCTTCTATCCTCAGTCCTGGTATAATTGGATCACCATGAGGGCAGAGATTCTGGTTTGCCGAGAAAGTAGGTTTTTGTCAAAGGCACATTTTTTTGCAATCTCTTTTTTTTTACGGTTTCGCCTTAAACATAGATAAATGAATATAATTGGCCTATAATAATATATAATCATTCATCTGGTAAAGATGCCGGCCGAAGCGTGACTATGTTCCGTATTTGTTCCAGGTAATGGTCCATGCTATGAAATGAAGTTACTAGACCCGAGGAACGAAGATGGTGTGTACACAATCTACCCGTTCTCGGCTTGCCAGAATGTACCTATCAGCGTCTACTGCCACAACATGGCATCGGGAAACCCGGAAGAGTTTTTATCTCTGCCATCTGGCCAAGAAAACAACTATGCCATCATCTCTGCTGATCGTCTGAGCAATGGGGGCCTATGCAGTGGACCATTGCTACAGGTTATCAACGAAATTTTAACCTTCGCCAAGAAGGTTATGCGTAGAGTAGCGTTTGTCCGTCTGTTTGTCTGTCTGTCTCTCTAGATTTGTTTGTCTGTGAACAGCATAACTCAAGAAACTTTATATACATTGTCATGAAACTCGGTAGGTTGGTAGGTCTTGATAAGTCCTAGATATGATTTCGGGCCTCCCTGGTGGTTTTTGTTGGTACTGCAGCAGATCTTCTCGTTTTAATATCTCATGACCTGGACATGCTAGGGTCATGGATTTTGGTTGGTAGATAGATCTTCGGATAGGAAAAAAGTGACATCAGTTTAGTCCCACTAATGGCTTGTTCTGGAAATGCAGGCGTGTTAAGGAATGAAAAATCTTCGAAGGAGGGCAACTTACGAACCTACTTGAACTTTTTTTCATATAAAGGGTTGATTTTAACCTCTGATTTTCTCCTTCCCTTGTATTTTAGGCTTCATGTTACAAATTTGATAATTTTAAAAAAATTCAAGATTTATGATCCAAGATATTGGGTAGTTTAAATATATACCTCATATACCGTTCACGAGTTCCCCAGTCCCACGGAAGTCTAGTCTAGATAGAGTTAAAACCGATTAAGAAGAGAAGTATGCATCCCTTCACAACAGAAAAATGTGCGAACAATTATTTCTTTTTTTTTCTTGTTAATTTTCGAAGGCCCCTTACAGCAGAGCCGGAACCACGAGGTTCAGCAAGGTCAGAATCAACTTTGAAAACTCAACGGTCAGGGTTGATAGAAACGACTTCACCTTTGCCAGTACCACTGGTAAGTACACAGTCGGTTACTTTATATACATTCTTTGTGCTAGGTGGCAATGCTATATGTGTTTTATGTTAAAGACACGCTGATTGCACACTCGAAATATATAGCAAGTCATGCCTCGCATGCCTAGTTTTCTAAAATATCAGTATTATTATGCAATGATGGAAATGGTTAATATGTTTCCAAATTTTGATAATGAATATCTTTCTCTTACTAAAGGTGTTACATTTATTATTTATTTATTTATAAAATCAACCTTGCCTGAATTTGATTCGCCTATGGACACTTCTTTCGGGTTGTATCTGTCTATTCGCACATAAAACTCAGAATCAAATGACTAGATACTAACTATCTAAAGGAAAAAAAATTGTAATTTTTTGTATTTCTGCAGCATTTTCATTTAATGTAGTAAGCTAATTCCAGTCTCCTCCCCATCATATGGGAGTTGTTGCCACTCGGTGCCCATTCAATTACTCTGTCGTACTAATCGGCTATACCTCACTATTTTAGAAGGGTGTTAGCTTGATTTTGTAATAATGATTGTTACTTTTTAGTTAGATTTCTGAAACTGTCAGCCGTCGTTTTGAGTTGAAAATATTTCATTCATTCATCATTCATTCATTCATTCATTCATTCATTCATTCATTCATTCATTCATTCATTCATTCATTCATTCATTCATTCATTCATTCATTCATTCATTCATTCATTGAAATCTTATATTTCTTGTCTTTTCTTTCCCATAACAATAGGAGACAACAATGTGCCTTACGGAGCTGCTGGTGACTGTTATTCATATCAGCAGGGATGTGCCAAGGGGACGTTTCAGGTAAACCTGACTGGGACGGAACTTGTACTGGCACCAGAGGTCTACTGGGTCATGACGGAATACTATCCAGAATATCTCACCATCAATGACATGTTCATTTCCGAGGACAGAAAGGTTTGGTTAATATTCAATATCAATAATCAGTTCTGCATCATGATGTAATGCATTTGAAAACTTTCTAGAAATGCTTTAAATCAGAGAATCTTATATAGCCAAAACAGTTTCAATGTTACTTTTTTAACCTATAAAGTGTTTAAAGATAAAAGACTAGTTTGGCCTATTTTTATAACTTTGTTCAAACAACCTTTTTATAATTAATTTTAGTTTATTGCGTCATTATTGAATCATTTTAGTGTAGGTTGTTCTTGGTCATTAGAAGGAGTTTCCTGAACGATTATATCACAATGTACAACATTAACGTCATGTTAACACAATCACAGGCATATTCTGTGTAGGTTCACTTACGTCCACATTTTGACACTTTTTTTCTAAAACCTTGATGATACAGGTTGCCTCAGCACGCTGTGGAGGTCATTGTGGACATTGCGGACCTGTACTAAATCAACTACTTCTTTTGCACCCGCAATGTGGAGGCAAAGGTAGAGCAGGTCGTAATTTAAAAAAGCTAGATTTTTCATACCACGTACGTTGTAGTCTAGAAAGAGTTAAGTTTGCATTTAAAACCGACAAAACAACAGACTGTGTCCAAAATTGACCGCATCATTTCTTGAGTTATCCTTCTCCAAAGTGTCTGATAAAACAATCTTCTATACTTCATGCGGATGTATGAGATCCTCGAATTCGTCAGTTTGTGATGTTTTGTCTAAAATAGTGGTTTTATTAGTACAACACCTAACCGGGTTTTGTTTTGTAATGGCCATCTATCTCTTTTGTTTGGCGTCTTTCGAGTGTCCATGTTTTTGTTCTTAGAAATGATATAAAGGCCACAGTTGCTATAGTCTTGTTTGTCAAAGAAGTCTTCGTAATTGTGTATGGCACTTTACGGATCAAAATAATACCGTTATAGGATGTATTGTGCATGATAAGGCTATACTAACGATACCATGCTGTTGTTTTCTGAAAGTCGTATGTCATAGGAACATATAAAGAAATGTATGTGGCAGAGTCACTACACAATCAAGTTACGATTTTACGAGCCTATATTAAACGTAATTAGGAAAATTTACTAGTACCACACGGTGGCACGTGGGTCGCAACAGCCCTTTCTGTCCCATTCAATTTGCGTGGCAAATATGGCACGATAAACATCCTTTCTGTACGTTTTTTTAAAGAAAATCACAAGTATAGCATATAACTTAAAATGTGTAATTGTTATGTATATGGTATTGCTTATAACATATGTCTCTTTTGGGACAGTTGTCAATGTTGCCCTGGGAAAAAGAGCTTCACAAACAAGCACATCTAGTGGTGGTGTTGCGAGCCGCGCTGTTGACGGGAACACAGATGGCAGATGGCCTGTGGGGTCCTGTACACATACCATAGAAGAGACTAATCCAACCTGGTGGGTGGATCTCGGTCATTCGTATCAGATAGACAGGTATGTTGAACATACTTCAAACACAGTTTGTCATTGACGAAGGCCAATATACTAATATTTATTTCTGTATCAATCAAATCTTCTGATTAGATGAAATGTTAACCCTCTCGCCATTGCCACCATTGCTATTCAAAATACTAATGAGATTTAGTGTCTAGGAAAAATAAAAATGGTATTACGCTTTAAGTTCGCAGTCAATTGAGAAATTTAAATGTCTAACTTTTACAAGTATAATAATTAAAACATTACCTTTACTACACACACTTAGTGAATATTTTCCGTGTTGCGTGAGCAATACAACACCTGTTACCCTCACCAAAGAGAGTAATGGTTTTCTGGCTTGTGGCTTTATGCAGCGGAATGTGCGGTTTTGATATCTACTAATTTGGACATGCTTGGGTCATGGGTTTGGTAATTTTCCCCCTACCTAGTTGCTTGAAACCTACAGCGGTGTGTATGACAGTGTTTGAAGTAGGATATTTTATGAATCGGTTGACAGATTGTCATTTTTTTGGATGCTAGCTAGCGTTAGTGATGTTTACCGCAATTAGGTTGCAATTATGCAAATCAGGTTCTTATTTTTTTTAAATGACGAAATTCTAGAAATCTGCCGCGTTCCATTTTATAACTATTCAATTTTGTGGCGTATGTAATAAGTGAAAAGAGGAACATTGGCAGGTACTTATTATGTGAAGTGTGGTCCAATTCACGTAAATAATTAGGTAATTCTATAATTTCATTCTGATTAATGGCGGGCAATTCAATGCTAGAATTGCTTTTTTGGATGAAATTGGGTAATTTAAGAATATGACGAACTGATATAATTTATGAAATCTGAATCAGTTTGTTTTGAGCGGCTGTTATAAGCAAATTCAACATACATGTAGGCAGCACATATCTCAGTTTTGTTAATTAGGCATGGATTTTCCACAGTTATCAACAGTGGTATTATATAGCACTTATTTTTGTGTACACAATGACACAATTTATGTTAAGCTGCTGGCCTCACTACAATACATACTACAGTGTGGTCATCGTCAACCGCCAGGACTGTTGTTCTGAACGACTCAACCCCTTCAACATCCACATCGGGGATTCCGGCCAGGTCAGCATGAACCCTAAGTGTGGTGGTGATCATCAAATCGACGTGAACCGGCCGTTTATATCAGTGCCGTGTCAGGCGATGAGAGGACGGTACGTGGGCGTTCGCCTTCCTGGTCAATCCCGAACGCTGACGCTGTGCGAGGTCCAAGTCTATGCAACTTCCGGTAGGCCTTTTTCATTACGTCTATGTCATTGGGTGGCATTTAGGTCACACTGAGTTCCAGAACAAGCTGCTAGGGGACTATACTTACACCCCTTACTCTAGAACTTTTACTACTCAAAAATCATAAACCTAGCACTTGACGAAAAAAAATGTTACTTTAAAAGTCCCATTCCTATTGGTACCGACTAGGTTGCCTATTATTAAAGTTGACCTTAATTGATGCTGCTTCCACCCGTTTACTGAATTCATGAGCAGCTATTCCAAGATTCTCGAGATATGTTTTACAAATGTAAAACACTGACACAGCCCGCTGCATCAACGTAGAGACACGTCAAGTGAGCCATTTAAAGTTGTTTCTACAGCCCCCATTCACCTAACACATATTATGTATATCCATTCACAACTTCTTGAGTTATTTTGTACACATTCAAGCAACAAATGTTCAAAAATGCTGCGGTGCCGTTAAAAACGCCAGGTTAACCATGTAGAACTTGTTTCTACGACCCCTATTTACCTACCTAAAATCTTGAAGATCCATTTACAGCTTTCTGGTATTGCTGTTAGTATATTTACAGACCAACAGAACAACCACGTTACCACCCCTCTGGCAAAAGTTAAAAATACAGTGTTGACATACACAGGTGTCAGCTGCTCCCAGGGGTACGTCCCGTGCGGAGACGGATTTAGATGCATCTTGTCATGGCGGCGTTGTGACGGACATCCGGACTGCTCAGACGGTAGTGACGAGCGAGATTGTGGTAAGTGCAGTATATCTAACCTATTAGTAAGCTAATCCATTGTCATTATTTTATTGCAGCTGCTCATAACTTACAATAGTAGTGTTCCATGTACCAGGCATAACCTTTTTTCACCCCACTGTCAGAATATTGCATCGAGGACACACTTGTTTGATTTTTTTCATTGTTTCTGTACTTTTTGCGTTGATATGCACAGTAACAATGTGTAATATTCCTTCAAGATATGGCAGCACACTTGAAAATGTTTCCTGTATCTTTATTTCTGGGAACCACGATGATAAAAAGAAAGGTTGCAACTAAAACAGGTCAATCTGTAACGATGGGAAGGTTTTTATGTCAGAAAGTATGTAGCCTTGGTGACTCTTACCTGATTACAAATTATTAAACAGTCACTAAAATACAATCTTCAATCCGCTGTATAACAAATAATGTTTTTTATTACGACTAGGGAGGCTACAGAATCTAAAGGACATAATACAATACTCCCTTAGTTGGCATTTCTTCAAAATTAAAATGTACTGTTAAGCTCAACCTTTTTTATTTCGTAGATTGTTAAAATATGCAAATATCTACTTGTTCTATATTTTGGTGTGCCTGTCTATTCCCAATGGGAATTTCTTCAAAATTAAAATGTTCAGCTAAGCTCAACCAATGTTTGTTTTTTATTTCGTAGATTATTAAATATGAAAAATATCTACTTGTTCTATATTTCAGTGTGCCTGTCTATTCCCGATAGTTTTCACCTCAACAGCAGACTGACAATGTTACCGAACCAACTGGGACAGGAGACGTTTGAGGCGATATTAAATTCTTCTGTCCCGGAACTGCTCAACACTTCTAACGGCATCGGAGAGAACTACCATCCGGAATTAAGAGACTTCGTAACTGCAGTCATTTTCCCACAATGCAATGTCCAAGAAAGCATAACGCCTTGCCCTCTGTCTTCAGATGAAGACAACGCCACATTATGCACGTGAGTGGAAAATCACAATTTAGAGTGCGATTTAACACGGTCTCATTCATCGTCCTTCTTTTCTGCTTTTCTGCCCTAGCATTTTTAATCAGACTGTGACAGTAGTACAAACCACTGACAAGGATCTATTACAGACATTTTTGTAACAAAAAAGCTGAGTTTGCCTTCAGTACTGTGCGATCTTGCGACCATCGTACGACTAATGTGGCATTGTCCTTAATATTATCTTTAAGGGTATATTATTTATCAAGTCCTCAATCTTGCCACATCTATGTAATATAACATATACCGTTACAGGGTAAATTTCCTAGGATAAATATGTAAATAGTAATATCTTAAATGTTATGAATATTTTAGGGGTTCACAACTGGTACCGTGCCGCTCGTGGTGTGAGGAAGTGCTCAACATGGCTGATGACTGGATAAAGGACCTATTGCCCCGATGTGAATTGTTTCCGCCAACAGAACACGGCTGTTGGAACCCTATACCAGCAAAGAAGGAAGGCGAAGGTAAATTGGCACCCTACCTAGACTGGGGGGGGGGTAAAAGTGCCCGAGACAAATTTGATATCGGATAACCTCCGAGCGACTTGCACTAGAGCCACCAAACTTAGTGACTTTTCCCAAAATGTTGTTATCAAAAATTTCATATCAGTGAGATGAATTCATGATTTTCGTGTATACCATTAAGTTTTAAGAGAAAACCGTTTTAGTCAATAAAGCACATGAGTGACTACATAATGGCGTCATAATACGTCAAAATCAAATTAACATTGTTAATATAATTGAATATCACTAAGTACACCATACAAAATTTGGCGATTATACTATATACCGTTCTTGAGTTCTGAGGGGGGGGGGCAATGACCAAAGGTCCCAAAAAATCTCTGCGGTTAACATTTGTCTGGCATTTTGGAGTGATTACGTTTCGTGTGTTTTAGACTATAGCCATAACCTTATAAGGTACTAATTTGTATCTATTTTATTTGTAAATAACCACAGGTACAAAAATTTAATTACTATCTGCGACAAAGCTGGTAAGACTAACAAAAACAACATCTCTAGAACCCCTCAATACAGGAACATACTAGTCCTTAAACTATTGACAAATAATAGTGTTGAAAAAGCAGATACAACATTCGATACAATTAATTGATAATGCTTTTGGGAATTGATAAGATCATCAGCTATTTCATTGTTAACTGTCTACCTTAGTTTGCTACCATGGCAGTGGAGAAAACTACCGCGGAAATAGGAATAAAACAGAATCCGGTGTTGATTGTGAGGTGTGGTCGACTGGCAGTTACAACACCGCCGAGTACTCCTGGGCTAACCTGGACAACAATTACTGCCGCAACCCTAAAGGTCTGGATCGCCCTTTCTGTTTAACTCAAGACGGCAGCCAGGAGGAATGTGACGTTATTCCATGCAGTAAGTTGTCCTAGTCAGAAGAAAATTTATAGATTTTAGTTGTCGTTAGTTGTAAAATAATTGATATATAGAAATTGAGGTTATAGGCGTAGGTATTGTTTAAAAGCAAACTTGAAACCACCCCTCCTTACCTATTACACACAGATAAAAACGTCTGCTGGGACAGAGGTCCTCCAACTCACGGCAAGAGAAGTCCAAAGAAGAGGTTCTATCAAGTGGGTGAAAGAGTCACGTATACGTGCAACGATGGCTACATCTTGGCGTCAGGATACACCAGGGAAGGGAGGTGCACGGAAGACGGCAATTGGCAATATAACAAGCCCAGCTGTTCAAGTAAGTTTTAGGCAATCTTCTCTACGAATAAAATCTCCACCTCTCCAAGTCCGCATCCATTCTGCTGAACATGCGCCAAGCAATAGACATATTTTTAAAAAGATAAATGGAGAAACCAGAGCAGCATGCTTAGTTCATTTACTTTTATATTAACGAAACTTTCCTTTGTCACTAATCTACAGTTAGTATGTCTAAAGTTAACGCAGTTTAGAGCATGTATTTGCAAAGTAATATGGTAACTAAAGTGCTAAAGTCTAGGTGTTTAAAAGCAACGTATGTTGAACCACTTTGAAATTTTGAACTTCTTTTCAGGTTTCTGTTCTCTAGACAAGCTATAGCTCATTAACATTCACCCATTAGTCTGTCAATTGTAGATATCATTTTAATAACTGGCATTCCTTTTACCCCGTGTTAGTTGATCATAAACGAAGGCTACAAGAAGAGGTGCTAGAGATCTACGGTGCAGGTTTGGCTCCTGAGAACATTGCAATCATCTTCAACGGATCTGTACAGCAGGTCATCGACTTGGTAAGTTTTACAATCTGCCATGTCGTTTAAATACCTATTTGGAATTCAAATGAGAACCAATGGAAGCAAACTTTATTATTAATTCATTTCTTACTGTTGTTTCAGGAAGAAAAGAAGGAGCAGCTAATAGCATCTGTTGTCATTGATTTCGTAAGTTAACCCTTATCCTGCTGGCTTTTCTTACACTGTATATTTTTAAAATTTTGATTTCCTAATCATGACGTCATGGGCACTTACGCATGTGGTTCGTTTCGCTGCGGTGTGATGCGTTCATGTGAGAAATACCCCCCCCCCCCAAAAAAAATTGTACATATACAGGGCTGTTAATTATACATGTAAGTGGCAATGTACATGCCACAGAAGCCTCGTCACCTTGTGTTAAGAAAATCAACATCATATCGCCCGTCATTGCACGAGAAAACCAAACCCGGACAAATCGGCTCATACTTTGTAAATGTTATAAGTTATGTGGAACTATAACATCGAATATAATTAAACTCTAAAGCCATTTTCCTTTAAATTCGTAGGTCTGCCCCCCCCCCCCCACGGTAACCTCGAAATTAAAATGAAAAATTTAATTGTTGTAAATTACTGAATTTTCTTTTGCGTTTTATATAGCAAAACAACATTCTTTCCTTTGTTTTAAAGACCAAAAGTTGAAGATAAAAATAGACTAGTGGGTTATCAAAAGAAGTAAAAGCAAGGACCACAGACCTTGGAAATATGAAAGCTATGTTCATATTACTATCATGATTATTAGGATAGCCATCGCCATCGCAGTAATTCTTGACAATAAACAGCTGGATAATTAAACGTCTCCGAGCGGTTCCAAGAACTTAATATTAAGGAAAAAAAGATAAAGGGTTCGCTCCATCCACAGTATGAGGTCCCAACTACTCCAACTATAGGCGTATGTAAATATGTTTGATTTTTAACATTTCTAGTCGATAATGAAAATCCTTCCATGATTTTGTTTGTATATATTTCTCATACGTTTTTAAGGAGATTGGAACATTGTTGATTCGGGTATCATAGACACTTTGGTGGTCCATTGGGGTCAAAAAGACTATGTATTCCATGTAATAGGTTTGTTTAATAGTACATGGTGTCACCTGAAGGAAGAGCTGATGAAGATGAATGTGTTTGCTTAGGTTTTCTGCTGACATTTAAACGACCTCATCATGTTGAAGTAAAAATTATGAGCCTAGACCTAATTGAAATCTTGTTTGAAAAATGATTATAATGAGCAGAAATCGTTTATACCTAATAATCTCAAATTGCCCCTCATAGATTATAAAAATCATACATACTTATCATCATACTCATACATACTTTAAATTACAAAATAGAGTCACAAAGACTATAATCGTGCAACGCATTATTAGGTCAGTTTTAAATAAATACAGTAAGTTTCTTCGCAAAACCCTACGGTGGTTTAAGCGTTCATTACACACAAAAATTAAGCTGATTTGGCCGATCCCCATTTTTCAAACCCTGCCTGGTTTTGCCGAGTAACCAAGTGCAATTGCGTTTAAGAGATAAAAAGGGACCTCTCATTGCTGCTTTCATTTGCACAACTTAAATATATTCCCTATAGAAATGGCAGGACAGTCGGCTGAAATGGGACCCAAAGTACTATGGTGACATCAAGACGCACAACGTTCTGGGCAGCAGAATTTGGACACCGTCATTCACTGTGAAAAGAAAGTACGACGTCCTTCTTAAGCTTAATTAAGCTTATCCGATTGATGTCGATATATGCTGCATATTGTTTTATAGTACCTTGTTTTTGCCTGCCAAACACTGCAGGAGTCTAATCCTAGACAACAATATCACAAGAACAAATTGTTGGAAAAACGGAGAAGATTGTATGGCGTACCTTATTTGGCAGGGTTGAATAACCGCCTCTCTTCTATGCCGATGTTTTATCCCTGTTTGCTCCCTGTCTATATCCGTGACGTTAAAGTTCATTTTATTTCCCTTTCTTCTCCTGTCATGTGGCCTGTCAGACGTCACCTTAAACCATAGCATGTCTAATAATCAACTAGCAAAACGTCTTTCCATCTCTACCAACCGTTGTCACGAGACAAGATACATACAGGTCCCCTGCACCCCAACCCCAAACAATACTTCTGTAAGTTGTTAGAGAAAACCTGGTTGGTCTGAGGCTAAGAATGATAATGCTTTTACTTCACAGTGCCGATCCCATCTATCGAGGCCTACAAAAAGACGTACCTGTTCGAGTCAGCAGTGATGGGCTGGTAGTCTGGAGTGTAGAAACCCTGACCACCACCGTGTGTGATGCAGACCCCTTCTTCTTCCCTGCGGACACCATGGAATGTCACATCTGTTTTACGGCACCGACAGCTATCGAGCAAACCATTCGTAAGACCTTTTTTGTAATTATCCTCAAGCTGCCTAAACATGATAGTTTTCGTAACATAAAGATAATTCCATCTTGTTTATTTATGCTAAGATAGTTTAATTATTCAGAAGAAGTACGACCAGATTATACAGTTAACAGTTAGAACTACATACAACAGCGATCAGATTATTATTGGAATGGGCAGAGCACTTTGGACTAATGCTTCCGGCTGTTTACAGCTTAGAGGTACATATCCAATATTTTGTAAAAAAAACTTCTCTGTCACATAGTGGATCATAATGATCCCCAGTGGGGGTCTTCACGCTTCGTTAAAAATTGAAAAATCTCAAGATTTATTCCAAAGATCTTAATATTTTAGACGAAATCTTGAGATCTTATACGACAATCTTGAGATTTTTCATGACAATCTCCAGATCTTTTAGAAGATCTTGAGATGAAAGCAAAAGGTCTCAAGATCTTTCCAAATGTTTTCAAAGCATCTTGAGACTTTTCCATAACATCTCGAGATGCTTTAAAAAATATCAAGATTGTTTAAAAGATCTCAATTTTTTTCAAGATCGCTTTAAAAATCTTGATATTTTTTAAAGCATCTCGAGATGTTATGGAAAAGTCTCAAGATGCTTTGAAAACATTTGGAAAGATCTTGAGACTTTTTGTTTTCATCTCAAGATTTTCTGAAAGATCTGGAGATTGTCATGAAAAATCTCAAGATTGTCTCATAAGATCTCAAGATTTTGTCTAAAATATTGAGATTTTTCAATTTCTAACGAAGCGTGAAGACCCCCACTGGGGGTCATTATGATCCACTATGTGACAGAGAAGTTTTTGACAAAATATTGGATATGTACCTCTAAGATGTAAACAGCCAGAAGCATTAGTCCAAAGTGCTCTGCTCATTCCAATAATAATCTGCTCGCTGTTATACGTAATTTCAAAGACAAAAAGCATTTACAATTGTTACCATGGCATTCGGGTTTATTTGTACTTTTGCATGATTACACATCTAACATTGTACATATGATATATGACATGAATCTATGATGCACGCAGAGTGCCAAGAGCAAGACAGCTCTGAGGAGGATGAGTGCTGTCCTTGTGGTGGCTTTTCTGCTACAAGAATGGAAGGCGAATGGTACCGGAAGGACACGATGTTTGCTAAAGACAACAGGGAAGCGTGTTTCGTTCTTCACCTGGCGAGGGCCCCCCTGTTCCACATCGCCACTACTGTTGGACCCTGCATCATCCTGGTGGTACTGATGACCATCACATTCATCATGCCTATTGACAAGGGAGATCGGATCTCGTTCGCAGTTACCATTCAACTGTCCATGGTCGTGTCCCTCGTGTTTGTTACGGAAGTCCTTCCTGTCAAGGGTGCCCTGCCGTTTTTCGGTGAGTAAAAATTATATAATTAAACCGTCTGTTTTATTTCCAAGACAGAAATATTGATTTTGGGCACGGATTTCTTAGTGGGGGATGTATGTTTTGGTTCTGATGCGGTCTGTGAGTGGGTTTCTCTTGATTGACAGGTTTTTGACCCAGTGGTCTCTGGGTTCAAGGGTGTGGTCACCGAGAATGTGTTTAAAGAAATTATGATGTTATATCAAATTAAGTTCCGTCAACCAATCTTATGGGCAATAATGTGTTGTATATGTAAGAGAACTATATTTACATCCAAGAAGTTAGAAATCTCCGATTTTTTGTCATCACCTGTTTATCAAATCTTAACATCATTTTATTAAAAGTTGACACCCTTGTTATTTAACTAACTGTTTCTTGTGGATGATATTACAGCCACACTGATCATCGTGTGCATGGCGCTGATGGCAGTCTTTCTCTTCTTCACTCTCGGCATCATCATGATCCATGGCCGGGAGGGAAGCCTGTCTCCGTTGGCGAAGACTGTATTTCTCCGCTACTTGTCAAAGTACCTACCATCCGTTTAATTTTTTTGTTCTGGAAAACCTAGTTTGACATGGTATGCTAGGCAGGGACTAAGGTTTTATCAAATCAATCAATCAATCAATCAAACAATCAATCAATCGATAAATAAATACATACATACATTAAATTCCCAGCTGCAGTAATATATCACATTTTTTTGTTTTCTTTTTGTTGGTAGGTTAGTTGTTTTTTTAAAGTTGTTTATGATTCCTTTTTAGGCTAAAAGACCACACCGATAACACTAAAATGCAACTGTTCTTAAGTCTTTGAAATGAAATTATAAGAATATTTATGGATTTTTTTTATTCACAAACATGCCTTTTATAATATTTCTGTTCTTGACATTATGTAAGCATTATTTGCATAGCTATTACCACATTTTAAAACATAATGCACGTTATTTTATTTTATTATATTTTTTTTTCTTGCCGTAGGATGCTACTGCTGGGGGACCTCAGTGGCAAGAAGCGTGCAAATGGTAAGGATCATGGCCATACCAACCACAGTGCCATTGAGGTAACAAACCGCGCCTTTGAAAATGCATTCATGGCTTCTGTCGACGTAGAGAGACCCGAGAACGACCTCGAGAGTCCCGAGCAGCCTGGTTCAGATGGACAGACCACCGGTCCTCCCGATCTCCGCGAGATGATCGCCACTGCGGTGAAGACTGAGGTGGGAGAACATGCCAAAGTCTTTAACAATGACGAAGTGACCGACTACACTCTGCTGGCTCAGGTCTTGGACAGGCTGTGTCTTGTCATGTACATCATCAGCATCGCGGCAGCCGTGCCTATGACCATGTATTTGAAGTGATGCTGTATTTGAAAGATACATTTGATGTGGTAATATCAGAGGATATCTTGCATTTCAAATGGTAAAGGTCAATGATTTTGAATCTCACTTGAGAGGTAGTTTGGACTCAAAATGTTTTCTTTGCGATGTCTTGCACTTTATGTCTAATGTAGAATACTGCTCATTTTACCACTGATTATTGTCGCATTAATACTTAAGCCTTTTGAAATGACTTGCTTGTCGATAAACATTACCCGACGGATGCCAAATTTGGACCCAGAAAACACAGCAATTTGAGTTTATGTGTAGTGTAAGTAACATCTAGTCACAGCAAGTTCGTGATCTGCTGTTTCATCTGCTATCAAGGTTTTTGAATTACTTGTAATCATCATAATAATCCTAGATCTGCATTTAGAGCATTGTAATCAGTTGTAGTAATCATACAGTTTCTTGATCTGTGATCACATCGGGATCATTTGTTATTACCAAACTGTTTCATAATCTGCTTTCAATGCATTCAAATTATTTGTAATCATTATTATGTTTATTGATATGTAATCAAGGAACTGTGATTAATTGCAATCATGCTTTTTGATCTATAATCAAGGCAATATCAATATGCAAGCAACCTGTGATCATCATTCTGTTTCTTATGCAATAATTACGACATCTTCGTCATTTGTAATCCTGATAATGTCTATTGATCCGTATAATCAATGTATTTTGACAAATTGTCATCATTGCAAAGTTTTTTTTATCTGTAATCAAGGCATTGAAATTGATCGCAATCACCATACTCTTTCTTGATTTGTCTTTTATATCTTAAAATTTCTTGCTCAGTACGATTAAGATGCAATTATATCTGGTAGCATAATGTTGTTCTCATCGATAATTTAAAATCTTGAAGTACTCTGTAACTTCTATGTTTTGAAGGAGATTGGTAATATTTTACTTTTAGTCTATGTTCAGCCAGTTCTAAAACACGTAGATAACAACAAGGTTTAATTATTGTCTTTGGGATTTTAAGTTTTTTTTTTATTTTGTTCAATATTTGCCTTTGTTTACATGATACTGGATTAATGCGTACTATGTTGTATTGGTCTTAATTAGGCCACGAAAAGTAATGTTTATGGATGGCATCAACGCGCGCATTGATTTCACAAGAAATTTTGCCCCCCTCTGACAGTGCCAAAAATGTGCAAAGATATATATTGCCATGCCGGAACGTGGATGCCAGATAAATATGAAGAGAGGAGATTCAAGGCTCAGGTTTATTGTTTTGTCTTTTATATGTGATGGTGGATGTGAATATGTGATCCTGACACTGAAAACCATTTGTTAAATGATTGAAACCTTTAATTTTCTTTGAAGATGTTTCAGCGAGAAATGGATATTGTAATAGCTGACAGTACACCTAGTACAATTGAGGTACCATATCCTATTTAACAAGGTTTATGGTGTCAACATTTGAAAATGAAGAATCTTTTTTTTTTGTTCGTCTCTATATATTTTGGATAGGTGGAGGATGTCATCCATGAAATTTACTTGATGTAGCCTTATATCGTCAGAACGTTGGTGGTTATAGTAATCGGATAACTGGTAAGTCAAAATAGTCAAGAACTATCACAATATAGCAACAGCTATGAAAACACAAAAGTTTATTATTGTAAAAATTAATTTGCTGACCTTGTGAATATTTTCAAGTACTAGCAACAAAGTTGGGCAGCTTTCTGCTAAGGTCTACTTTGTTCCTCGTAACTATTGTTTACAGGCATCTATAATGTCTTCCCTAAAGTAAATATTAGTACATCACTATGTACTACGGTAAAAATCTAAATACTAAAGCATTGTAATCATCATTGAAATTATCATGATGTTGCTTCATCTTAACATCGAAGCATTTTAATCCATTAAATTTTTCTTGATTCGCAATAGAGATTTTGCAACCAATTCTAACCATCACAAAATTTGATTGATTTGTAATAAAAACATATTTTTTTATTTACCTGTATCTTGATTTGTAATGAAGGTAATGTAATTGATTTTAATTTGAAACTTTTGTAATTAGGATATTGCAACGATCTGGTTGTATTTCTGCAACTAAGCTAGTTTCTATTAATGTTATAATGTGTACTTCTATGTCATTATTGTACCTTCTTTGTTTTAAGTCACTTGGTACAGTGTAGCTTTGAGTCTATGTTAAAATAGTTTCTGCACGCGTAGATGACAGCAATGTTTAATTATGCGTTTAGAATTTTTAGTCTGATTTAATACTTTGTTTAAGACGAGTGTTTATCTACACGATACTAGATGTAAACATGGTTAAGATACTATATTAAATTGTTTGTATTGATTATTAATCTGTATGTAAAACCTGTGTGATTAAATATTATAATCGGACAACTGAAGTGTATTCCGCATCATGCCCGTAGCCAGGATGTTGGAAATTGAACTTCAGAAACGGCATTTTCTGTGTTTTAGAGAGCATTTCAAAGGATAAATCGAATACACTTTTACAAGTGAGCAATTTGTAGGGTTGCAGTCCCGCTGGTGATACAAATTAGTCCACTTTTTGAAAAAAAAATCTTGACCCTTGGATAAAAAAGTGGACCTTTTACTCGTGTTCTTCCGAACACCCTGGACTCCCCTTGGCTACGGGCATGCCATACTTAATTGAAAGCAACAACAATATAAAGGCTAATTAAGATTCTCATTATTTTGAAGTTTGAGTACCAACATCATTGATATATTTAAAGGAAAACAAACGATGTTAATTTGTGAACTCACATGCACATTATTTATGAAAAAAAAAGCTTGAAGTTTGAATAAACCTTAGAGCAAAAAAGTCTGTTTTGTATTATTGTTTGGTTATGTATTACACCACACACACACACACACACACACACACACACACGAACACACACAGACATACACACACACACACACACATATATATGTATATATATATATATATATATATAGAGAGAGAGGCAAAAAATGGGGGAAAAATCCTTGTCAAAGAAATGTTTTTTACAGCTGGGACGGGCTTCTCTGCATTGAGCCCCCTATCCGCTAATTCTAAGCATTCCTGTGAATATCTCTACAAGGTATGTTCAGAACATTGGAAAAAATTCAGTCTTTTGTGGCGACAGATCGTTATGACAAATCATTCATGATCCCGGGCGATACCAACAGGGTCCGGCTTGTGGGGAGAAACGTTCTACAGCTGTTCGGAGCTGTACGATAACGTCACGGGCAGAGTGGGCCTGTCTGGGGATGGTGGGTACCGTGACAGAGTGTCCTAGGACTTTGCATGTACATGTAGAGACCCGGGTTTCAGGAAAGGGATTCTTACCTCCGCCTTCACATCAGCAAATGGGGTCACCAGTGTCGGTTTATGGGATATCCCCTTACAATACCACTTTAACAGCCCCTCCTACCCCTCCAAGTAGGAGGCCGCGAATCTGCATGACTAAGTAGACCGGGTGCGCCGTGATCCTTGTGCGACATAGACTGGTACTGTATGTTGGGCGGCCAAACCATGTGCCTAGCCTGTTTAGCATAACGAAAACAGGGCTGCCTATAGAGCTTAGCTGAGTCTTTTCTTGAAATCGGTCATCCGAAGAACATATTTCAGTGTTCCTTTAAGCTGGTGACTATCTCAGCATCTTTATGCATGCTTAACTTAGACTGGATCAATAAAGCAAATGTTACGTTTTAACGTTGGGCGAGTCGAGCTTCAACCTTCGACCTTTACCTTTAGATGGCGCTGCTCACGTGACCTGCACGTCCGACCGTCTGAAGGTCACCCCCCCCCCGGACAACTCCTTACAGGACAGACAGTAGTACAATTACCTTTGGCCATGAACATACAGTTAAATACACTGAAAGTCCTAATGAAAGTATTTTCTTACATGATAATCTCGAACATTCTTCTGCACGAGAGCGTGCACAGAACGGGACACAGCCCGACTGTCCAGAACTGTGCCCGGAAGTGCTGTCAATCATATGATTTTAGTGGGACCGCGGTTTGGGACAAGGCCATTGCCTGTCCAGAACTGTGCTTAGTCCATGGGCACGGTTCGGGACACGCACGGGTCATGGTTTGGAACAAGGCCATCGCGTGTCCAGAACTGTGCGCTACCCGAGGCACGGTTCTGGACAAACACTTTGTTTATCTTGAACTTATTACTCAGTCTCTTGTTTTATATTACAAAATCATTAACGGTCATACACGAGAATACTTAAGAGAGCTAATACCACCCCCGGTTTCAAATTCCTCTTCGTATGACCTTCGCAATAAACATAATTTTCAAGTGCCCAAATGTACCACAACCCATTTCAAAAAATCTTTCATTCCCTACTCAACGCATCATTGGAATAACCTTAACATAGCAGACCGCTCACTAAGTCTCCCTTGTTTTAAGAAGAAAATCATTAAATTTGTGCGCCCTGCCCCTGTTTCATATTTTAGCATAGGCCTTTGGTACACTTGCGCTCTTCTCACTCGTCTTCGTCTGGGCACTTATAATTTAAACTCAAATTTGTACACACGTTGTCTGGCAACCAGTCCTGCATGTACCTGTGGCCATCCCATTGAAAGTATCCAGCATTATTTTTTGTACTGCCCTAAATATACACAATATCGTGCCTCCCTTTTTAGCAATTTAGCTAAGTTGGTAGGATTTGACATAAACCTTAATGATCTCTCTGATGATGCTTTACTTCATTTATTCCTTAGAGGTTCTGTATCACTATCATATCCAAATAACTTAAAATTTTTACTTTATGTTCAATCATTTATAAAGGAAACTAAAAGATTTCTTTCCTATCAGTTTTGCCTGGAGTACTTTACACATTGTAACCTTATTTATTCTATTCTGTTATTATTAAGCTTTGCATGTCTGTTTTTGCATTTGCTTTTGTATTTTTGTAATGTTAGATGGCGACATGAACATATTGCTTCGGCTTGAGCGTGTCGTCATCCTGTCCACTTTGCTTCTAAATGTTTTAATAAAGGAACTTATTACTCTAGTCTATCGTGGATACGCCTCAGGACTATCCAGATCCATGCGTGGGCTTGATGGACAAGCACAGTGTTGTTTTCGATTCCAGGACTGTGCTTGGGTCAATCTACCTTCTTGGGTATACCACGTGCGGTGCTGTAGCAAGAACACTGTTTGCAATCTAATATCTAACCGCCTCAGATGGGTCAAGCCTTAAAAAATGATAAAACCTTTTTATTTCACTGTTTTAGACACTGCATGTAATTCCAATCAATCTTAGACCAGCGTAAAAAGGAAAGCGTACTTTACAGAGCAAGAATTACTCCGATTGATTCTTATTCTTGTCCCGACAAAAACAAAGAGGGCGGGCTAAAACAGCACCACGAGAAGGTTCCTCCCTCAAACCACAAAGCTCCGCCCCAATAGCACGAAATGGGACAAGGCCCATGTGTGCCCAAAACTGTGCGCAATCAGGCATGGTTATGGTCATTCCCCGCGTGTCCCTTGACGTGATTTTGCCCCAGGCAGGGTTTGGGACACTCCCCTAGACACGGTCTGTGATAAGGCACGGTTCGGCCATGGCAACAACACTGGCGTCAAAATAACGTCATAAAGTGACGCCACTCACATCTAAGCTGTCAACCAAGCGGGATAACAAATCTTGAATTTCTTAAATTACTTTCTTTTTCGATTCAGCCCCAAAAATCAATGCAAATGGACAAGATGTCCATGAACATTTCTTGATTAAACCAAATTGTGTTCAATATGTTTTAGGCAAAGTGACGCGAAATTTGACGGTTCTAGCATAAGATGTTCATGTTAAAGTTGGCACGGGCCTCACCCCCCTGGTTTTAAAAAAAGGTTTAAATGACAAAAAACGTGACAAAAACACACTCAAAACTAACGTTATGCACCATGACCACATTTTATTCCGTAAACAAAGTATTCCAGCTGTTTCCATGTCTCATCACAAAGTACGATACAATCTACACATTTCCACAAGGGTTAGATGACAGTTTACTTGTCGACAGAATTTTCTAAATGTCTATGTGTAGAAGGTCTCATTCATCAGGATTTTTAAGATACACTGGAAACCATGCATTAATAAGGGTCTTACAATGTCACGTTGTTAATTATCCATCAACAATTTAATTGATCTTCTACATTATTTATATGATTTGCTGAGCACATTCATCCTTTGTCAATTTGAAATGAAATTTTTAAAATGCCACTGACTTATTCAGGCAATCCTTGTTTACACTACTCTGACTTATCGCGAAGCTACTTAAAATTATGTCATTATTTCCTCAGTTACAATCAATTTTGAGTACTTTGATGTTTTAACACCATCGGACTGGTTAAAATGAAATTTGTCACGTATATAAACACTCTTTATTGTAGCCATTTTTGGTTTGGTTTCAATTTATGTAGGTACATAATTGAGTCTATATGCATGTATGTCATCAGTATTAATATTTAGTATGCGGATATTGCTTAAAGGCCTCCGCTACAATGGTACCACGTACGTACTATTGTAGAGCCAAATACAAAACCTAACACGGAAATAATTAGATTTAACCATTAATATAATGTTAAGGCTTATATGAATTAATAAGTAAATTATGTCACATTAACCCCGTGTTTTGTCTAAATAGTCATGGTGCCTTTTTTACCTAAAAAAAAAAAAATCTATACAGGAGAAGGTTCTGAAATATTTGCAAGTAAGTCCACATCAACAAAGTAGAGTTTGATCAGTTCCTTAGAGACGAAATTTAAATGTAATGGAAAGTACTAAAAGAGAAACCATTAATTGCTAAAAACAGCGATAACTTATGATATGAGATTACAGAAAGCCATCTTTCCATTCTATGCAGTCTAGCTGATTGTAAGCAGAATATCACGAAGTACCTATAATATATCCAAGCCTGCTGTACATCCAAGCAGTTACAAGTTAACTTTAGCTGATCACTTTAACTACTAAGTAAATAAGCGTCAGAGAAAAGAATTTCCTATGCGATGGTAACGTTCAGTTGACGTATCACGAACGTTATTATCAAGTGTAGTACACAAATGAGATGAAAAGCGACTATTATTTGTATAGTCATAAAGCGGCTTGTCTGAGTTTAGACTGAAATCTTATACAATTAATAACATGATAAAAAACACATTCCACAACCAAAGTCTGTATGAAACGCCAATATGTAACATAACAGTAATGACGAATTACTAAAAATGCAAAAGCTTCATTAATTTTGCTTGCGCCGAGATGCAATTTAAACACAACTTATGCGTTCAAAATTTCATGTTTGATTCATCTTTTAACACAATCACTTTAATATTACAAGTCAGCAGAGTGCATATATCACGATGCACATGATAAAGTTTGCTTTTGAGTTTTGCATGTTGTCCATAACAATAAATAAAAATTATTGTTTCAAGCATGTATTAATCTATATGTTGTAAACAACATGCCCAAAGCTCTACTAAAACAGACAGTAAAATGAATGAATTGTTTTCATGAAAACCATTTAGATTCTCTACTTTATGCTATTACTTATACAAATTTATTATATCTATCACATCAGTGTTTTCATACACATACAGTACACCAGATCTGGTATATCATGTTGACATGCCAACGATATGTTTACAATTATCTACATCCTAGAACCATTAAGGCCTACATTGACTTGATTTTAACAATAAAATTTACCCTAGCAAACATTTAGCAGGTTGTGAAGAATTAGGCTCTAAACATTTTTGCGTATACGTTCTTGATTACGCGGATAACAAAACCTGATCCCCAACTTAACGATTTAGGCAAAGAGCTATATACAATACTTTTTGGATAAAATACGATTTCCTGTAATAACATGCGAAAAGTCGGTTTGTCAAAATATATATAACAATAAAATTTACCCTAGCAAATATTTAGCAGGTTATGAGGAATTAGGCTCTAAACATTTTTTTGCGTATACGTTCTTGATTACGCGGATAACAAAACCTGATCCCCATTACCTGGAAAGGACTGTTTACCTCCTAATCTAATTTAATAACCTTGGATTTTTATTGATAAGCCTCCTTATTGTCCACGGAATTAGATCACGGGTATCTACCAAAGATCTTCTTTTTATTGTAGCTGAACTATATACAAATTGTGTGAATTAAAGCAAGTGCTAAATGTAATAAATAACGCAAATAAAAGTGTCAGGTATCCAATAAGAAGGTTCTATATCATTTAAAATGCTTCAAATGCTTGTTCAACAAGTCGGATAAAATTTCTTAGCCTTTTTTCATAAACATGACAAACGATCAATGGATCGAGGTTGATGCCACATCTTTACCTGCCCAAGTACATGGTCATAGGGACGGTTGCCGCGATGCTGATGACGTACATGACAAGACACAGCCTGTCCAGGACCTTAGCCAGCAGCGTGTAGTCAGACACTTTCTCTTCGTTCTTCACGGCCTTGGTCAGCTCTCTGATCTCGGCATTGGCCTGATCTCCAACTTCCCTGACCACGGCATTGGCCTGATCTCCAACTTCCCTGACCACGGCATTGGTCAGAGCCCCAACTTCCCTGACCGCCGTGATCAGCTCTGAAAGGCCAGATGATCCGGAGACATCCTCAGTAGGAGTCGATGGCTGCTCGTTCCTCTCATTGTCACCGCCGAAATATATGACTTCTTCGTCGGCCGTCGACACGATATCGGCTTCATAGGCGCAGTTGGTCACCTCTATGGCGGTTTGGTTGGTCACGCCGGGCTCTTCATCGTTTGCTTCCTGATTTGCTGTCAGATCACCCAACAGCAGCATTCTTAAGAACACAAAAATAGTACATCTCATCTGATACCTCCTATAGTAGATCTTTTTGTGCAAGAATTGATGTTTGTTTTGTGCCTTCGTTTAGATATAAAATATTTGAATTAAATACATCATGAAAGAGGTTCGGTTCAGTCAAACAAAAACAAGATACGGGTCATCGGATTGAAGTCCTGGTAAGTTTCCTGAAGAAAATGATTATATAAGGTATTAGATAAAATGTATTAAAACTCAACATGGAGGAAAAAAATCATGATGCTGGAAAAATTGTATCAGAGAAAGTAACAAAACAGAACATTAAACTATCTAAAAACTCATTACAAAGTTACTAGTGATCTAATGTTTTGCATGGATATCGATAATGTCATATTATACACAGTTATCATTGACAACATCTAATGCAATTTTGAATTTGGTGCGGCAAAACTGTAATTTCCTATGTCAATTTTATGGTCATTCTTTTAATGCAGTAAATTGAATTAACCCTATTCCATAGCACATAGTATATTTGTTCGGCCACACTGATTTCATATTAGGGATGACATTTGCGCGCCATTGATTTTAGCCTGTTCTAAAAAGGTCACTTCATCCAAAGCTATGGCCTGGGTGCCATCCTCTGCATATGAGTCCGTGGTAATTACAAATGCGACCTCAGAGAAGGGAACATGTTGCTTGTGTCGTATCGTTGCCAGGATCTATTTCTTTTTTTTTTAAATATTTTTTGTTTTGTTTTACCGCCCTGATATTGGATTGAGTGCGTTTAAAACAAACAAAAAAACAAAAACAAATTGAAAGTACTTTGACATGTAGCGGAGGAAAATAATCTTCGCCGCCGGAGACAGGCTGCCCTCCCGGTCATGGATGACGATGATGATCAGAGTGAAGAACAGGAACAATCCCATCAGGCCCATGCAGACGATGATCACCGTAGCTGTAATATTATAGATGGTAAACAGTTTCTGTAACTTAGCCTTTTGTTGCGAATTAAACAAATGATTTATAAAGCAATACGGTAAATGTAAAATTTAATTTACTCACCAAAAAATGGCAGTACCCCCTTAACAGGAAGTACGTCTGTCACAAATACGAGGGACACGACCATGGACAGTAGAATGGTCACTCCATACGAGATCCGGTCGCCCCTGTCAAAGGGCATGATGAAGGTGATGACCATCAGTGCCACCAGGATGATGCAGGGTCCAACAGTAGTGGCGATGTGGAACAGGGGGGCCCTCTCTAGGTGAAGAACGAAGCACGCTTCCCTGTCGTCTTTAGCAAACATCTTGTCCTTCCGGTACCATTCGCCTTCGATTTTCACAGCAGAAAACGTGTGGCACTCATCAGACCCGTCCTCTTGGCCTTGGCATTCTGTGTTAAGCACGATTATGTTTGTTATTATATACATGTAAGGTGTGACCTCCCCCGTAGGGAGCCTACAATCTAGTAATTTCTAGTTCCTTTGAGTACCTTAAAATGCAATGGCAATTCACTAAAACCTTCTGGAGTTATCGCGGTAAACAAATACATACACACATATGCATACATACATACATACATACATACATACACACATAAATACACTCGTACGCACATGCAAATATAACCTAAAAACGTAAAAAGCCTTACGAATAGTTTGCTTGATAGCAGTGTGTGCAGAAAAACAGATGTGACATTCCATGGTGTCCGCAGGAAAGAAGAAGGGGTCTGCATCACACACGGTGGTGGTCAGGGTTTCTACACTCCAGACTACCAGCCCATCACTGCTGACTCGAACAGGTACGTCTTGCTGTAGGCCTCGATAGGTGGGATCGGCACTGCGAAGTAAAAAAAAAATCATTATAATTCTTTGTTCCATACCAGCCTGATGTGGTTCTCTGTAACTACTTTAGGGCACGGAAGTATTGTTTAAGGTGGCTTACAGGGGAGTTTGTATGTATTCTATTTCGTAGTAACGGTTGATAGAGAGTGTATAATTAGTTAAATAGAAGGCATGTTATGGTTAAGGGCAACTGACAGGCCACATGGCAAAAAAAGAAATAGAAACGAAATAAAATGAACTATAGGCAGGCAGGGAGTAAACAGGGATTCGACGTAAACCTACGACTTAGGCGGCTTTTTATACCTGGCGATTAAAGCACGTCATACAATCTCCTCGGTTGCTCTAACAACCCAAAATACCTCTTGAACTGTCGATTTGTTTTTGTCATTTTGTTGTCTAGGATAAGAATCCTGCAATGTTTGGCAGGGAAAAATAAAGTACTATAAAACAATGTGCAACATAAGTCGACACCAATTGGATAAGCTTAATTAAGCTTAAGAAGAACGTCGTACTTTCGTTTCACAGTGAATGACGGTGTCCAAATGCTACTTCCCAGAACGCTGTGCGTCTTGATGTCACCATAGTATTTTGGGTCCCATTTCAGCCGACTGTCCTGCCATTTCTAAAGGGAATATTTTAGTTGTGCAAATGAAAACAGCAGTCAAAATCCTTTATATCTCTTAAGAGTCATTTAACATGATTACTAAAGCAAAGTAGACATGGTTTAAAAAAAATGCGGATCGGCCGAATCAGCTTAAACTTTGTGTGTGTGATAAGCCTTTAAACCACCATGGGATATTGCGATTTGCGACGAATTTTACTCTATTTGACATGATAAGGTATGAATAATTTTTGCTCATTATAATTAATTATGCACCTTAAACAAGGCAGTCGAACTGCAGACCGCTATGCGCATCGTTTCTGCGCAGCTCTCTCTAAGATCTCGTTTAAACCTCGCGCTTCTTTTCCAAGGTAATGTGATCCACGAGAATCAGCGAGAGTTTGCCACTGTTTACTGTTTCGCTTGTAACTCCGCTTTGCGTAAGTGTTTCCTTGTCATGCGTTAATGTGAGATGTAAGAAAGGTCGGCGTCACGCTCAATGTCGTAGATGTACATTACCGGTGGTGTTTGTTGGAGAAACGAGGTTTCAAAGTTGACCGTGTATGATGGAGATGGTTCCACTCGAGATAGGTACCCTTTAGTTTTTTGGGGGGCAAACCCGTTTGTCCTATTTCATCCATCGTCGATTTATTGTATTGTTTAATAAAATATAGACCCTCCCTCATCTATTGTGTGTTGTTTCTTTTGGGATCCTGTAGTTGTTACAATATAATAACCGATAGTAAGTTGGGCTAATTCAGTCCAATTCTCAACGATTTTTGTTCGAATCGCAAGCTTTTGCATCTAGTTATAACCAATACACCTGTAATGTAAGATATGGCTGAAATATAGCTATGTTGGCTTGACACCTGTGTACTTAGTTTTGAAGTTGAACAATGTGTATTGCAGCTCGACCTTGAGAAAAAGTGTATTTTCTTTACAGTTTCTTTGCCTTTAAAAATGTTCGGTTAAAAGTTAATATATAGAACAAAAAAGAAAGTGAAAGAATATCGACCAAATAGTAAGCTTCAAAACGATACCCACTTTACGGATGAAAACAGAAGAGAAGGAATTTGGGCATGAACAAATACAACAACAGGTTGACTTTTCATGACCTAATTTTTGAAGGAGAAATCGGACACTATGACCTGTTACTGTAAATATACAAACATCGGGCAGATGTACTGACATTGGTATAGTTGCACATGAATCCCACTTTCTCTAGCGTCTTCATGATATAAGTCTGACTTGGAATGGGTTTCAGAAAGTCTGTTTGTGATGAAAAAACTTGATTACTTCTTATTATGAAGTTTCGCAAACAGCGGTTGAAAGTTGCAACACTTTTGGCGGCGCGTAAAATGGAACGCGCTGCCTTGGTTCCATGGATCGAACGCAGGAGTTCGAAACCGATTGACTTCAAATTTGACGAATTTTAGAATGGTCAGAACATTGTATTAAAATCCTCTTTTTGTATATAATTGAATGTTATCATATCATTTATTATATCGCATGTGGAAGCCACATTCATGCAGTTTCTCATACAAAGAAACGAATTTTATGACATTACGAGAAATGTATCAAAATGTAGCGGAAACTCAGGACGGTGTGTGTCAGGAGCTTACAACTGGGCTAAATTTGACCACCGCGATGTGCGCATTGTCACAGTTTTTTGGGGGGCAAACCCGTTTGTCCTAAAATTTAGCAGGGGTCTTTGGCATCAATGTAAAGGCGAAGAAGTGGGCTATCACATTGTGATGTTAGCTAATGGGATCCAGTTGAACAGTAAAAAAGACAAGCACAAATAAACTGACCAAAAATTGCTAATGTTTGGAAGGCCGTAGCGCTCGCTGTCATTTTGCAATGCACGAAATATCTACATGGTTGTACACGGCAAATCCTGCAGATATCAAAAAAGTATAAACATTATGTAGGTCTGAGGTATTTTTGTTACAATATAGGCAATTGTTTACACCCATGCAACGGGGTCAAATCGTGAACCGGCAAATGCCGTATCTTAGAGAATAACGCGTTCTACGGTGACCTGCAGATCGACTGAAGATACCTACAGGCAGCGATGTCAATGACCTTTGACCTAATGCCCATAGTCAACTAGGTCTTGGCTCACATTTTTTTTTTACCTTAACATGTTCAGGTCATTCTAATTGCAGCAGAAAACCCAAGCAAACCTATTAAATGGAGGAAATATTGACGAAAACATATTTACATAATCTACTTTAATTTGGGGTTTTCTAAACTCAAATTACAAACTTTACGTTTGAAACTCCTATCCTTGAGCAATATTTCATTTTAAACTGGTCCTCATTAATTATGCAAATCATCGCTGTAAGAAAAGCCAGCAGCATAAGGGTTAACTTACGAAATCAATGACAACAGATGCCATTAGCAGCTCCTTCTTTTCTTCCTGAAACAACAGTAAGAAATGAATTAATAATAAAGTTTTCCTCCATTGGTTGTCATTATAATAGGAAACAAAAGGTATTGAAACGACAGCGCAGCTAGTAAAGCTAGTATTACTTACCAAGTCAATAATCTGCTCTACAGATCCGTTAAAGATGATGGTGATATTCTCGGGAGCTAAACCTGCACCATAGAACTCTAGCACCTCTACTTGCAGCCTTCGTCTATGATCAACTAACACGGGGTAAAATGTATGTCAACTATTATAATGACAATTACAATTGACAGGCTGATGGCTAAATACCAATTAGCCATAGCCTTATCGTCCACAAATCTTGTCTAGAGAACAAAAACCATGTTGGAGGGGTTTTAACCACAGACACCTTCCCATGGACGTTAACTCCAGACCATCTACAGATCCTGGGCTGCGGTGGGCCAGACGTATGGAATGACTATGGTGAAGCCCACCACACCCACAGGACGGGCCAAACTTACAGCTGATCTTCAGTTAAGGTCGGTAGGGTTCAAGTTCGGGGAAGTCTGACAAAGAATACCATTAGTGGGAGATAGAAATCCCAACTAAAAAGTTCCACAGTTTAAAATGTTGTAACATACGTTACTTTTTAACACCTGGAATTTAGCATCAACTTAAGAGACTGAAGGTAGCCTATTAGCTACCTGATAATTTTACAAATGTATTCTCCAAACTGCGTTAACTTTAGACATGCTAACTTTAGTCTAGTGACAAAGAAAATAAGTTTTGGTATAGATAGTAAATAAACTTAGCATGCTGGTCTGGTTCGTTTAAATTTATGAAAATAGGTCTATTGCTTAGTGCATGCTAAGCAAAATTGATCCAGACTTGTAAGATGTGTAGACTTTTCTCACAGAAACGACTGACTAAAACTCACCTGAACAACTGGGCTTGTCATAGAGCCAATTGCCGTCTTCCGTGCACCTTACATCCCTGGTGAATCCTGACGCCAGGGTGTAACCCTCGTTACACGTATACGTGACTCTTTCACCCACTTGATAGAACCTCTTCTTTGGACTTCTGCTGCCGTGTAATGGAGGACCTCTGTCCCAGCAGACATTCTCAACTGTGTGTGGTAGTGGGGAAGGGGAAGAAAAGTCTGATTTGTGGAACAGGCCTAAATTTTACGCCAGGAAAGCCCATAAAAATGTAACATTCTTACATAAGGTGCATATTTGACGACAATTAGAACTATTAATCACGTATTAAGTTAACGGCATATTTAAACCATACGCCAACGTATTGTATTTATGATTGTTTATTGCTTTTTTAAAAGACAACTTACTGCATGGAATAACGTCACATTCCTCCTGGCTGCCGTCTTGAGTTAAGCAGAATGGCCGATCCAGACCGGCAGGGTTGCGGCAGTAATTGTTGTCCAGGTTAGCCCAGGAGTACTCGGCGGTGTTGTACATGCCAGTTGACCACACCATACAATCTGTGCCGGATGCAGTTTTACTCTTACTTCCGCGATAGTTTTCTCCATTGCCATTGTAGCAAACTGTGGTAGACAATTAACAACGAAACAATGATCTAATTAATCTCTAAAAGCATCATTTTACCTAATTTTGTATATTATCATTTGTCAACATTTTAAGTATGTTCCTGTATAGAGGGGTAATTTAGATGTTGTTTTTGTTGCTTTTTCTTACCAGCTTTTCACAGATTGCCATTTTTGATTTTTTGGTCTTCGGCTAATGACAAATTAAATAGAAACAAGTTAGTATCTAAATAGATTATGGCTATAAAACAGACAAAACGAAATCACTCCCAAATAGCAGACAGATGTCAACCTCTGACGTTTTTTACGTCAAAGAGATTTTCTAGTGGGCTAAAGACAGTTTGTAATTAACGATGATAGAATTCGACTAAAATCTAAAATTCCAAAATCTCATACCTCCATAAAATATGGGCTCGACATGTAAATTTAGTCTTTAATTATGCAAAGATTCTCTACATAAATATTTAAAAAAACACCGTAATGTTAAATTTTCATTACATTACACAGGTTCCAAGTATGAAATTCCCATCATTTACCACTAAGGAGTCATAGAATTTTGAGAATAATTATGCAAATCAGTTCCGTATTTGAATAATTTTTATCTGGTGATATTCCTCCTTGCATACATTATAAACATTACATGTATCAAAACCCCATAATGTAAAACAATTGAATTAAACACGAAATATCATTACAAGCCATCCAATGGTTCAAAAGTTATGCTGGCTACAAATGTGCGGAAACACAAATACGCACACACACACACACACATACAGACAGACAGAGAGAGAGAGAAAGAGAGACGCCAAAAATGAAATGAACATCTTAAACGTGCCACTTTACCTTCGCCTTCCTTCTTTGCTGGTATAGGGTTCCAACAGCCGTGCTCTGTTGGCGGAAACAAGTGACATGAGGGAAACAGGTCCTTTATCCAGTCATCAGCCATGTTGAGCACTTCCTCACACCATGAGCGGCATGGCACCAGTTGTGAACCCCTAGAACATTCATAACATTTAAGATATTACTATTTACATATTTACCCTAGGAAATTTACCCTGTAACGGTATATGTTATATTACATAGATGTGGCAAGATTGAGGACTTGATAAATAATATACCCTTAAAGATACTATTAAGTACAAGGCCAGATTCGTCGTACGGTCGTCGCAAGATCGCACAGTACTGAAGGCAAACTCAGCTTTTTTGTTACAAAAATGTCTGTAATAGATCCTTGTCAGTGGTTGGTAGTACTGTCACAGTCTGATTACAAATCCTAGGGCAGAAAAGCAAAGAAGTACAATGAACGTGACCGTGTAAAATCGCACTCTAAATTGTGCTTTTCCACTCACGTGCATAATGTGGCGTTGTCTTCATCTGGAGACGGAGGGCAAGGCGTTATGCTTTCTTGGACATTGCATTGTGGGAAAATGACTGAAGTTACGAAGTCTCTTAATTCCGGATGGTAGTTCTCTACCATGCCGTTAGAAGTGTTGAGCAGTTCCTGGACAGACGAATTCAACATCGCCTCAAACGTCTCCTGTCCCAGTTGGTTCGGTAACATTGTCAGTCTGTTGTTGAGGTGAAAACCATCGGGAATAGACAGGCACACTGAAATATAGAACAAGTAGATATTTTTCATCTTTTAATAATCTACGAAATAAAAAAAACATTGGTTGAGCTTAGCTGTACATTTTAATTTTGAAGAAATTCCCATCGGGAATAGACAGGCACACCAAAATATAGAACAAGTATATATTTGCATATTTTAACAATCTACGAAATAAAAAGGTTGAGCTTAACAGTACATTTTAATGTTGAAGAAATGCCAACTAAGGGAGTATTGTATTATGTCCTTTAGATTCTGTAGCCTCCCTAGCCGTAATAAAAAACATTATGAGTTTTACAGCGGATTAAAGATTGTATTTTTAGTGACTGTTTAATAATTTGTAATCAGGTAAGAGTCACCAAGGCTACATACTTTCTGACATAAAAACCTTCCCATCGTTACAGATTGACCTGTTTTAGTTGCAACCTTTCTTTTTATCATCGTGGTTCCCAGAAATAAAGATACAGGAAACATTTTCAAGTGTGCTACCATATCTTGAAGTGATATTACACATTGTTAGGCCATGTTGATTTGATTATATGGATGACATCCTCTGGGAACCCCAAAACTAATGCGAGCGTGCGAATAAAAAAAAGTTTTGCAAAAAAAAATGTTGCTTTCACTATATATGAAATCTACGTGGTCATGAAGATTGAACAAATGGCACAGAATATGTTATGGCGAATAATCTACTCTTCAAATTCATTTCTTTACATTTTTGTCTTTTTTCCTTTGATTTTGGCATTCTACGACAATGGTATCGTTTCTAAATGTTTTCCTTGCAACTTATGGTATATTTTTGTCTCATTTAGCAACTGTTTTGTCATGATTTTACAGTATGGTTGAAAACTTTTTGTTGAAACGGCTGAAAATTCATGCGCGCGCGAATGTTATCCATATAATCAAATCAACATGGCCTTACTGTGCATATCAACGCAAAAAGTAAAAAAAAAGACAATAAAAAAATTACAAACAGATGTGTCCTCGATGTAATATTCTGACAGTGGGGTGAAAAAAGGTTATGCCTGGTACATGGAACACTACTATTGTAAGTTATGAGCAGCTGCAAAAAAACCAATGAATTAGCTTACTAATAGGTAGGATATACTGCACCTACCACAATCTCGCTCGTCACTACCGTCTGAGCAGTCCGGATGTCCGTCACAACGCCGCCATGACAGGATGCATCTAAATCCGTCTCCGCACGGGACGTACCACTGGGAGCAGCTGACACCTGTGTATGTCAACACTGTATTTGTAACTTTTGCCAGAAGGGTGGTAACGTGGTTGTTCTGTTGGTCTGTAAATATACTAACAGCAATACCAGAAAGCTGTAAATGGATCTTCAAGATTTTAGGTAGGTAAATAGGGGTCGTAGAAACAAGTTCTACATGGTTAACCTGGCGTTTTTAACGGCACCGCAGCATTTTTGAACATTTGTTGCTTGAATGTGTACAAAATAACTCAAGAAGTTGTGAATGATATAAATAATATGTGGTAGGTGAATGGAAGCTGTAGAAACAACTTCAAGTTTGAAAATGGTTCACTTGACGTGTCTCTACGTTGATGCAGCGGGCTGTGTCAGTGTTTTGTATTTGTAAAACATATCTCGAGAATCTTGGAATAGCTGCTCATGAATTCAGTGAACGGCTGGAAGATTAACTCTAATAATAGGCAACCTAGTCGGTACCAATAGGAATGGTACTTTTAAAGTAACATTTTTTTTCGTCAAGTGCTAGGTTTATGATTTATGATTAGTAAACGTTCTAGAGTAAGCGGTGTAAGTATAGGCCACCTAGCAGCTTGTTCTTGAACTCAGTGTGACCTAAATGCCACCCAATGACATAGACGTAATGATAAAGGCCTACCGGAAGTTGCATAGACTTGGACCTCGCACAGCGTCAGCACTCGGGATTGGCCAGGAAGGCGAACGCCCACGTACCGTCCTCTCATCGCCTGACACGGCACTGATATAAACGGCCGGTTCACGTCGATTTGATGATCACCACCGCATTTAGGGTTCATGCTGACCTGGGCGGAATCCCCGATGTGGATGTTGAAGGGGTTGAGTCGTTCCCAACAACAGTCTTGGCGGTTGACGATGACCACACTGTAGTATGTATTGTAATGAGGCCAACAGCTTAACATAAATTGTGTCATTGTGTACACAAAAATAAGTGTTATATAATAAGCTGTAGATAACTGTGGTAAATCCATGCCTAATTAACAAAACCGAGATATGTGCTGCCTACATGTATGTTGAATCTTGATTATAACAGCTACCTAAAGTTTGAATCGTTATATCATGGAACGTGGCAGATTTATAGAATTTCGTATTATTTTTTAAAATAAGAACCTGATTTGCATAATTGAAACCTAATTGTGGTAAACATCACTGACGCTAGCTACCATCCAAAAAATGACAATCTGTCAACCGATTCATAAATTATCCTACTTCAAACATTGTCATACAAACCGCTGTAGGTTTCAAGCAACTAGGTAGGGGGCAAAATTACCAGACCCATGACCCAAGCATGTCCATATTAGTAGATATCAAAACCGCACATTCCGCTGCATAAAGCCACAAGCCAGAAAACCATTACTCTCTTTGGTGAGGGTTGTATTGCTTACGCAACACGGAAAATATTCACTAAGTGTGTGTAGTAAAGGTATTGTTTTAATTATTATACTTGTAAAGTTAGACATTTAACATGATTTAATATACTTTTTTTACATTTCTCAATGGACTACGAACTTAAAGCGTAATACCATTTTGATTTTTCCTAGACACTAAATCTCATTTGTATTTTCAATAGCCACTGTGGCAATAGCGAGAGGGTTAACATTTCATCCAATCAGAAGATTTGATAGATACAGAAATAAATATTAGTATATTGGCCTTCGTCAATGACAAACTGTGTTTGAAGTATGTTCAACGTACCTGTCTATCTGATACGAATGGCCCAGATCCACCCACCAGGTGGGATTAGGCTCTTCTATGGTACAGGTACAGGACCCCACATACCAACTGCCATCGGTGTTCCCGTCAACAGCGCGGCTCGCAAGACCATCATAGGCTGTACTTGTTTGTGACGCTGCTTTTTCCCGGGCAACATTGACAACTGTCCCAAGAGAGACACATTTTTTTAGAAATACCATATACATAACAATTACACATTTCAAGTTATATGCTATACTAGTGTTTTTCTTTAAAAAAAAACGTACAGATAGGATGTTTATCGTGCCATATTTGCCACGCAAATTCCCATACCCATCTTCATTGGATTTGTTCGGCCCGTCCTCGAGTACGCTTGCGTGTTATGGCACCCCGGTCTGACTAGAGAACTGTCCCAGAAAATTGAACGTGTCTAGAAAAGAGCACTAAGGACTATACTGGGTAATGACTATACCGACTACCAATCTGCTCTGAACCTTACCGGTCTCACCCGTCTTGACGCTAGACGACAGGAACTGTGCCTACGATTCGCAACTTCACTTGTTAACTCTGATAAGTACGGTGAATGGTTGCCACCTAGACGGGGTGATACTCATCTCAGAACTCTCAGAAATAACAACTCTTTTACTCAGTACAAATGCAGAACTGCTCGGTATCAGAACAGCACTTTTCCCTTCTGCGTACGACTGCTAAATGATAACATGTAAATTTCCGTGCGGACTCCATGTATATAAAATAGCTTATTTATAAGTAATAACTTTTAAAATGTAGTCACCAATTGATTTTAATATATTGAATGATCGTACATCCCTGTTTTAATCCATGTGATTAGAATTTTGTATTATGTTGTCTAAGATGAATGAATTGTTAAAGAACCACAATTCAGCCTACTAAGTATGTAAGGCTGCCAGGTTTATCTTCAATAAACCACTTCATCATTCATCATCATCAAATTGGATGGGACAGAAAGGGGTGTTGCGACCCACGTGCTACCGTGTGGTAAATTTTCCTAATTACGTTTAATATAGCCTCGTGAATCGTAACTTGATTGTGTAGTGACTCTGCCACATACATTTCTTTATATGTTGCTATGACATACGACTTTCAGAAAACAACAGCATGGTATCGTTAGTATAGCCTTATCATGCACAATACATCCTATAACGGTATTATTTTGATCCGTAAAGTGCCATACACAATTACGAAGACTTCTTTGACAGACAAGACTATAGCAACTGTGGCCTTTATATCATTTCTAAAACCAAAAACATGGACACTCGAAAGACGCCAAGCAAAAGGGATAGATGACCATTACGAAACAAAATCCTGTTAGGTGTCGTACTAATAAAACCGCTATTTTGGACAAAACATTACAAACCGACGAATTCGAGGACATCATATATTCGCGTGAAGTATAGAAGATTGCTTCATCAGACACTTTGGAGAAGGATAACTCATTAAATGATGCGGTCAATTTTGGACACAGTCTGTTGTTTTGTCGATTATAAATGCAAACTTAACTCAGACTTTTTCTAGACTATAACGTGGTATGAAAAATCTAGCTTTTTTAAATTACGACCTGCTCACTCTACCTTTGCCTCCGCATTGCGGGTGCAAAAGAAGTAGTTGATTTAGTACAGGTCCGCAATGTCCACAATGACCTCCACAGCGTGCTGAGGCAACCTGTATCATCAAGGTTTTAGAAAAAAAGTTTGAAAAATAAAGAAAAGAAAAATCTCAAAATGTGGACGTAAGTGAACCCACACAGAATATGCCTGTGATTGTGTTAACATGACGTTAATGTTGTACATTGTGATATAATCGTTCAGGAAACTCCTTCTAATGACCAAGAACAACCTACACTAAAATGATTCAATAATGACGCAATAAACTAAAATTAATTACAAAAAGGTTGTTTGAACAAAGTTATAAAAATAGACCATACTAGTCTTTTATAAATAAACACTTTATAAGTACCAAGAATAAATATTGAAAACTGTTTTGGCTATATAAGATTCTCTGATTTAAAGCATTTCTAGAAAGTTTTCAAATGCTTTACATCATGATGCAGAACTGATTATTGATATTT